TTTTCTGGTTTTTGACTTTTGCCTGTTTTTGGATACTGTTTTTGGATTTGCCCTTTCTGCTCTGGTTGCCTGTGTTTTTGTATTTTCTCGTTTTTGACTTTTGCCTGTTTTTGGATACTGTTTTTGGATTTGCCCTGACTTGGTTCACTCATTAAACCAGCTTTTGTTTTTAAGATCCGCGAGCGTCTTTCTGTGCTTGTTCAGCGTTACAGAATACCTCGCCTCAACCAAAGATGGCGGATCTGAGAGAACTCCACAGCACCGTCAACAATCAAGGCCAGTTGTTGGCACAACATAATCACCTGTTTGAGTCGATGTCCAGGACTGTGGGTAAGCTCACTCATCAGCAAAATCTGCAGAAGCTGATTACAACATAATCAGCTTCTGCAGATTTTCTCCGATATTAAATCCCTTTCCTCCCAGTTAAGTCAGTTAGTGCCTAAACCCTCCATCTCTTCGACTCCCGTAGTCAACTGAACAGCACCTGCACCAGTTCCCAGTTCTGATGACACGATAAGTACGACAAATCCCAATTTGTGTAAAGGCTTTTTGTTACAGTGCTCATTGTATTTTTCAAATTCCCCTGCTAGTTCTGACAACTGACGCATTGCTTTTTTGATTTCTAGACTCACAGGTAAAGCTTTAGACTGGGCCACTGCTGTTTGGCCTTCTCTAGAGCAGAGCACATATGACCAATTTTTGCAGAGCTTTAGGGGTGTTTTTGATCACCCCAATGATGGTCGCTCCCAAGGAGAATTATTATCACAAATCCGCCAGGGTACATGTTCTGTAGCGGATTACTCCCTGGAATTTCGGACATTAGCAACCAGAAGTGGCTGGAATGAACCCGCACTTGTAGTGACTTTTCGTAAAGGCTTAAACGCAGAAATTCTGTCTGAACTTGCTTGTAAGGATGATGGACTGTCTTTGGACGATCTCATTGCCCTGGCTATTTGCCTGGATCAGTTGAAGCACAGTTTCAAAACAAAAATACACCGCATCGCTACGCTCCACACTACTCAGCAGACCTTTTCTTCACCCAAACCAGTGAAACCTGATGTCCCTGTCGCTGAGCCTATACAGGTGGACAATTCCCATCTATCCAAGGAGGAGCGCTTACGCAGGCTATATGGGGGTCTGTGCTTGTATTGCGGAGAAGCGGGTCATGTATTATGTGACTGTCGCCTCCGCCCGAACAGACCTCAGGTGCCACTCCCAGGAAAGCGTGTGGAATTTATTCCACGCGCTAATGTGGTGAGTGGTCATCAACATACTATGATTTAGTAAATCCTTTCTGATTCCTGTTACCTTGTTCTGCCAAGATTTTCTTATTGTCGTTTCAGCCCTAATCGACTTGGGACCCCTTGGCAACTTCATCCAGGCTAATCTGATGAACCAGTTGGGGATTGAGAAAGAACCACTGCCCACAACTTTGCGACTGTCAGCCGTGGATGGAGGACCCATTGGATTAGGGAGAGTGACTCATAAAACACATCCAGTAAAAATGAACGTTAGTGCTCTCCATGCTGAGGATATGTTTTTTCGTACTTGAAACCACTGACTATGCTGTAATTTTAGGTCTCTCCTGGCTGAAGACACGCGATCCTAAAATCTCCTGGTCTCATAAGGAGATCCTGTCATGGTCCCTGTATTGTTTTGAAAACTGTTTACTAGCCCTTGCTATTTGGGCTAACTCCACGTCAGTGGAGAGTCCAGCTGTGCATACACAGTTTAACATTCCCCCTGAATATGCTGATCTGGCTGAGGCCTTTGACAAACTTGACGCTACAAAATTACCCCCTCATAAAGATTATGACTGTTCCATTGAACTGCTGGACAACGAATTACCTCTCAAGTCTCGTGTTTATCCCCTCACTCAGGCAGAGGAGGTCGCCATGGAGGAGTGCGTGCAGGAGGCCTTGGATCAAGGATTCATTCGTCCATCCACATCTCCGGCAGCGGGAGAGTTCTTCTTCGTGCAGAAGAAAGATGGAGGACTTTGTCTGTTCATAGACTATAGGGGGCTGAACAACATCACCAAAGCCTATCCTTACCCCCTTCCTTTAGTGCCAGTTGCGTGGGGCTAAGGTGTTCACTAAACTTGACTTGCGTAGTGCCTACAATTTGATTAGGATAAAAGTAGGCAATGAATGGAAGACTGCGTTTCTCACCACTAGGGGGCACTATGAGTACCTTGTTATGCCTTTCAGGCTCCGAAATGCTCCCTCAGTGTTCCAGTCATTCATTAATGATGTGCTCCGAGATATGTTGGAGATTTGTAATCGCCTATATCAATGACATTTTGATTTACTCAACTGACCTTCCTACCCATGTTAAACAGGTTCGCCAGGTCCTGTCCCGTTTGTTGGATAACCAATTGTATGTGCTATGCTGTGTCATAAGTGCTGATGGTGTTTTCATGGATGATAAGAAAGTGTCTGCAGTGGTTAACTGGCCTGTGCCTACTACTGTGGAGGAGCTGCACCGATTTCTTGGTTTTGCTAACTTTTACCGAAGGTTCATTCGTGACTACAGGACAGTTGCAGCTCCTCTCACTGCTTTGTTGAAGGAGGGAGCTAAAAGACTGATGTGGAATAACCAGGCTGAAATTGCTTTTCAGCGCCTTAAGGACACGTTCACCTCAGCTCCCCTGCTAAAGCACCCTGACCCATCTAAACCTTTCATTGTTGAAGTTGATGCTTCTAATGTGGGGGTTGGGGCTGTCCTGTCTCAACACCATGGTGAACCTGCTAAATTGTATCCTGTTGCTTTCTTTTCCCACAAGTTGTCACCGGCAGAACAGAATTACGGTATAGGAGACCGTGCTGGCTATGAAATTAGCCTTTGAAGAATGGCGGCACTGGCTGGAAGGTGCTCAACATCCATTTCTGGTTTTGACTGACCATAAAAACCTTGAATATCTGCGTTCCGTAAAACGACTAAACTCACGGCAAGCTCGTTGGTTTCTGTTCTTCTTGAGATTTCAGTTTACCATCACTTACCGTCCGGGTTCACGTAATACAAGAAACAGCACCAGAAACAGTCCTAGAACCCAAACCAATACTCGCGCCTATTCGTTGGGAAATAGATTCAGAAATCGACGAACATAATAATCGCAACACGCTGCCCTTTGAAGCATCGTGTTCGACCTGCTCCCAATGTAAAACCCCCCGCACATTACCTGTTGGCAAACTAATGCCATTACCCATCCCTTCTCGCCCCTGGTCTCATATCGCCGTAGATTTCGTCTCTGACTTGCCTATATCAGAAGGTTACACCATTGTTTTGACTGTGGTTGACTGATTTTCCAAAGGTGTACGCTTCATTCCTTTCTCTCACCTACCTAATGCCCTACAAACTGCTGAAAATCTGTTTAATCATGTATTTCGTTTGTTTGGTATCCCAGAGGATATCGTGTCTGATAGAGGTTCATCTCAAGTTTGGAGAACGTTCATGGAAAGATTAGGAATCAGTTAGTTTGACATCTGGTTACCATCCCCAATCTAATGGTCAATGTGAGAGAGCAAACCAGGAACTAGGCAAATTTTTGAGGCTTTTGTCATAACAACCAACATGACTGGCACAGATACTTACCCATGGGCAGAGATAGCTTGGAATTCTCTCACTAGTTCCACTACTAATCTCACTCCGTTCCAGTGTATGTATGGTTATCAGCCCCCTCTTATGCCATGGACAGCCACTCCCTCCGAAGTTCCTGCCGTTGAGTCCTGGATGTCCCGCAGTGAACAGGTATGGGAGGAGACCCATCAGCGGATCGAAGCGGTACTCCGGAGACAGAAACACCAAGCTGATCGGCGACATGGTGACACCCCTTCCTACTCCATAGGAGACAGAGTATGGTTGTCGACCAGAGATTTCCGTATTTCTGAGGGGAGTAAAAAAACTTCTGCCCAAGTACATTGGTCCATTCAAGATCCTAGATAAAATAAACAATGTTACTTACCTGTTCAGTACCGAGTGTGTAACTCCTTCCATGTATCTTTGTTCAAGCCCATAGTCTCTGGTCCATTGGATGAGGTCATGCCTGACACCAGTTCCCCACCTCCTGTGGTCATGGAGGGTGCACCCGTCTATGCTGTCTGGCGGCTCCTGGACTCTTGTCGGCGTAGAGAGGGCCTGCAGTACCTTGTGGACTGGGAGGGGTTTGGACCGGAACCCCTCCCAGTCCGGGGGGGCTGGTCGTCATGGTCGTCTTCATTCGCAAGCTGTCTCGGACTCTTTGGGGGGGAGTACTGTCACGCTTCCAGGTCCTCCTCCCCTGCCTAAAACGCTCCAGGACTCCATTTCCCAGAATCCCAATCCTCATGACATCATCCCTTCCACCAATCACAGACCTCTGCCTCGTTCTCAGTCACCTGAATACTAATTCAACACACCTGTACCCGTTTGCCTTAGACTTTAAAAGCTTCCTGGTTTGTTCTCCTCTTTGTGAGGTATTGCCACACTACTGGTTACTGAGTGTTTATCTTCTATTTTTATGGCCTGTGTACTGAACCCATTGCCTGTTTCTTGATTGTTTCTCTTTTGGATTTGCCCCTTTTGCTCTGGTTGCCTGTGTTTTTGTATTTTCTGGTTTTTGACTTTTGCCTGTTTTTGGATACTGTTTTTGGATTTGCCCTGACTCGGTTCTCTCATTAAACCAACTTTTGGTTTTAAGATCCGCGAGCGTGTGTGTGTGTGTGTGTGTGTGTGTGTGTGTGTGTGTGTGTGTGTGTGCTGTAATTCTTCTTTTTTTTTTATTCATTTGATTTTGTTATTCCTTGCAGTTTACTTTGTTGGTGTTCATTGTTCCTTTTATTGCTTCTTTGTTTTAGTTTTCACTTGTGTCCCATTTACTCTGTTTGTATTGAGTCACTTGCTCTTTGTTTATGTCTTTGTCGTTTATCTTGTCTGCCTATACTCTGACCTCTGCTTAGTATTACAGTGATAATTTTTTGAGAAGCCTTAATGACATGTTAAAAATTGTTTGTTTGTCCTAGGGCTATGGTGGGAAGGAGAGGGCATACATTGCCACACAGGGTCCAACTGTAAATACAGTAGGAGATTTCTGGAGGATGGTTTGGCAAGAACACTGCCCAATCATTGTCATGATTACAAATCTTGAGGAGAAAAATGAGGTAAGACACATACATTCGGACTAGGTATATATACATAAAACAGACACACACACCACACACTCAAGTTACCAAGGTGAATACTTGACAGCAGATTATATGCTGAAAAGAAGGAAAGAAGCAGAAAATGTATACAGAAACTCTTTTGTAGCCTAAGCACAGAGGCACATAGTTTAGATCTGATGAAGATTCTTCAACAGTCTTGACAAACTCATGTTAAAATAATCTTCAGCACAGTACCAGAACACCTGGAATAGTACTGCCAATCCAGTATATAGGAAGGCAGTTTATAGTACTTGCAGAACAGCTTAAAAAGCTACTTTCTACACTCCAGGCCAGTCAGCCTTCTCTCTTCAGATCTAGTTTTGGCTTTGACAGAACCCTCAAAACCACACCAATGAAGAAGCCATTTCCCTTACAGAACAGCTGCTCAGCCAGTGGCCTCACCCACTGCTCATACTGCATCTTTATGGGCCACACCCCCGAGCCTGATGCCAATACCATGCTCCTGAAGCCAGATAATACCATTTATGTGTTATGTTTATGTTTTTATCATGACCTCCCAGTCTTGGCTTCATTCCATCCGTGCTTTACATAACCCGGGTTGTACCTTGAACCTCCTTCTCACTTTCAAGCTTTGTGTTATCTGCACCTGTGTCTTGTTTCTAACTATTTCAATCAATTGTTTTAGTACAATGCTTTGTAATTTCTCAAACGTAATACAATATCTTAATTTTTACAAATAATGTAGTACTTTATTACATTATTGGGAATTTATTACATTTTCAGGCTGACCATATGTAATACCTTATTACATTATTGGAAATGTATTATATTTGTCGATTGATAATTTTTGCTTTAGTGCTATTATACTATGGATGATGGTGACACTTTTAAACAGAGGTATCAAAGGTTACAGTGCTTTTGTGCTGTACACAGGAATCAACCCAGCCTAGAACGAGAGGAGCATCGAAGAGACAAAGTCTTAGAGTTGATTTTTCACTTAGAAAGACCCTCCACTTTTAGCAGTTCTTGAAAGACTGGCCCTACATACAACTATAACTTGCCTACTCTGGACAAAGTAATAAAGTCTTATGAGAATCAGATGAAAGAAACTATATTTATGATAGAGAAAAACAGTAAATCAGTCAATTTAGAACAAAACACAACAAGAGGACTAGCAGTGGTACTTCCATTCTTGGCAATAATGTAATAAAGTATTACACTTGGTCAACCTGTAATATGTAATAAATCCACAAAAATATAATAAAATATTACATTTCAGTAAAAATCTTATTACATGGTATTGTGCAAGTTATTACATTATCAGGTTTTGTTTCATTTTGACCAAGTGCAAAATTTTATTACATTTCTTCCCATTATTACATTGTTGGGGAATTATTACATTGTTGGGTTCTACAGCAGGATTAAGAAACACTAAATTAGAACAATGAGACACCCCTTGTCTCTGGTCATGACTCTGCCCTGGTCTCTGGTTGTGATCATCTTCCTAGTCCAGCTCTAGATCATGTATACAGTCCTTTGTTTCTGCTGTGTCTTTGCATATGGTTGGATTACGTCAATAAATCAGCTTGCTTTCAGCTCACATTCAGTTACATCATAAGTGAATTGAAATCCAAATGTAAACATCAAATGGACAGCTGGAGGGTTTCTGTGTGAAACTCAAGGCAGTCAATTAAAAGCTCTGTAACATGGCATTTATAAAATTGTCTGTTAGGTGTTCTGAATTAAGTAGCATGTTACTTGATCTTAACTGCTTTTAATTTGTATAATTTTATCTGAGCAGTTAATGTGGCATTTGAAAAAGGTAATTTTAAGTGTGTGTGTGTGTGTGTGTGTGGCAGAAATGCACTGAATACTGGCCAGAAGACACTGTCATCTGGGAAGGCATTGAGATCACTGTCAAACAAGTTATCCAGGCAGATGACTACAGTTTGAGGATCTTCACTGTGAAGGTGACTCTGTGCAGTGTTTTTACCATGTCTGTATTTTTAGCAATGTTATGTTAAACACAGTTTTGTGTAAAACTCAGAGACCATTTCATTTGTTTAATTTCCAGTCAAAATAGTACTTGGAAAAGAAATTTATAAATCAAACCAAGAAACTGTTGGTGTTCTCAAACAATGGCCTTGACACCCCACAACTTTAGATGTGTCAAAAAAAAAATCTGCAGATTTTTTTTTTTAAAAACTGAAAGCAAATCTCCCAAAAAAGAAACTGAAATAAAGTTAAGTGGTGGACTCACAAAATCCTGAAAAATGTTAAATATATGCATCCTGTTTTTTCCTGACGCTGAAAAATGAATAGCATTTACTTAATGGGTCAGTAATGTAGTGGTAGTAGAGTTAAACCAGCAACTGGAACTTTCAAAGGTTTGAATACCAGGAATGATTGATACACCTGGTTGTGCCGTTGGGCAAGGCACTTAAGTGCTCCTCTGCTGGTGACAACGTGCTTCTCCCATACTGGACAGCAAAATGACAGATTTTGGATAATGAATGTTACCTGCTTCACTACAGATGACAGATAACTGACTAACATTTACATAACTATTCATACGATAACTGGACAGCACATGTGTCCATTAGTTATGTAAGCCTCCATTCAGTCAGACCTCTTTCGTCATGTTAGCTGAGTATGTTTTATATTTGGGTGCATTTACAAAAGGAGACATACTGTAGTACTGGAAAATATCTGAAAATAATTGCTAGCCTGGTTTCTCAAACAATAGAGGACATAATTTACCAGAAGCAAAAAAAGCCACCGTTAGCAAAGTAACCGGATAACATTGATCTAACCAGCTTACATTAACTGTACTGCTAAAACAACTTCACAGTTACAGCGATACATTGCATTATGTTACAAGGGTAACATTAAATTCCACAAGAGTAATAATCTGGCCGGCTATTTTTGGAAGTTAGCTAGCAAACAACCAGTATAACTTACCTGTCCTGTAATAAAAAAGGCAATTCATCATCACTCCTGAGTCCTTTCAGGTTATGGACCTGTCGCCACCTCTGAAAAGCCAAGCCAATGTTAATTCTGGTCTTAGGTCAAACTCTGTCGCTCTCCCTTTTAGCTTACCTGCTTTCTTCAGTTTTATGTTTCTTTGCTTTGACCAAAGGTAATGCCATAGGGAAAAACTGGGTTTGTCCTTCTGTTGTCTGCAGCGATAATGCTATGCTTCTTTTCACTAACTTTCAGCACTGTACAGATCAACACTGTGAGAAACAACCCACCAACATTGCTCAGGTACCCAGCCCATATCGAGCCGGACCTTCATTTTGAGTCTGTGTCGTCAGCAAAGATGACTGATGTGGTCTGAAAACTGCCAAATCTGACCTGACAGCTCTGAGTTTTATATGAATATTTCAGGCCACACAAGAACACCATATTTTAGCAGATGTTTTCCCTCTGTACACAGTGATGTAAATTCTTTCAGTTTTAAACAAACAAAACTTACATAGTGCAGCTTTAAATAGAGTGTAAATGCCACTGTATTGGCAGAAGTGGCCTAAGTGACAGACACTAATTTAATTTGTAACTCTACCATGAATCATAATTGCCAAGTAATGGAACTTCCATTACAGAACATTACATTTTGATACTTTTTCCTTACACTAAAGTGATTTTGATTCCTTAAGCTAAAGGAAAAAATCCTTAACTGAAGTGAAAGTACCATTGGTAAATTATTACTTGGGTAAAAGTATTGTAGAAGTCTATAATTCTATTTGATTTAATGTACAAAAAGTACTTTTGTATTTTAAATGTACTTGCTTTTAAAAATGCTACAGGAAAGTATACAGTACCGTGCAAAAGTCAGTGACCATCCTTTCTTTTTCTACAAGTTATTCATTTTTTTAGTGTCAAGAAAAAAGCAAAGAACACATTTAAGAGAAAATTACACAGATGCCTCAACAACTAAATATAATAACATATTTTTCAGTATTTGGTGTGTCCACTCTTTGCCTTAATTACAGCTTCCATTCTTTTCAGTTTCTTGCTTTTAGTTTTGTGCAGAATTTTTTCTTCTTGTTTGTGTATTTGCTTTTCTCAGCATCTGCTTCTTGACAGCTACACATCCTTTGAGATGAGACTTGCCCTCTTACAGTGGAAGAGTAGACACAAACACCTGTGGATTTTTTTTTCAGATCCGAAGCAAGAGTGGAGCTTGATTGTCTCTCAAAGATTAAATTTTTATGTACTGTTTATCTGATGGTGACAGATTTGGTGGTCTAACAGGTCTTGCACAGTGGTCATGTCTCCTGTTTTCTCTGTATCTTTTATATTTTATTTCCCAGAATTTTCCTTTTTTGTCACTTCTTTCTCACTGATTTTTCTTTGACTTTTCCGCTCCTTATTCAAGAGGATTATCTTTTAGACATTATATCTGATCCCCTCAGAAATATCTTTTTTAAATGTACATGAGGGAAAAAAAAGATGTGTTGGGGTAGTTGCTTGTGTGAAATTGCACTAAAAATTGTACTTAATGGCAATTTTGACTGGAAATTAAATGTGCAAAAGGCTGGTCTGAACTGGTCAGTAAGCTGTGATAGCCATGCCAAAAGCTTGATTCTGTTATCATTTAACCCAACTGGGTGGAGGTTGGATCTTTCAACAGGGTGATGATCCAAAACAATCACCTAGATCCACACAAAAAATGATTAAAATTGTTAAACCAAATTTTCATTTTAAATATCCTGCCACCATATATCTTAACCAGGTTCCCAGGGTCTTTTGGAGAAAAAACTAGCCCCATAACATACTTACCATATCGTAACATACCAACAAATGTTTCACCATACTTAACAATGGGGAATTTAGTCTTTTTATACTAAATTCACCTTAGGTGTTTGTTGTGAAAAAGCTCTATTTTTTATTCTTCTGACTATAGGACCCGGTTCCAATCAAAGTAGTAGTATCTAGCAAACTCGAAGTGCTTATGTCTGTGGTTAGATTGAAAAAGGTCTCATCTGGTACACCTTCCAAATAGTTTTTGGCATAGAGGTGACATAGTTTGAGGACCCCAAAATGGTGCAATCTCCTGAAAATCTCTAGAAAGAGAAATTTTTGCCTTTCCTTCTCACTGGACAAGATACACTTGTGTCCTTTTCCAGGCAGGTTCACTGCAGCTCAGGTTTTTTTTTTTAAACTTCTTAATTAGTGCCCCAACAGTGCATGTGGGCATTTTTGGCTATGTAGCTATTTTTGCAGCCATTGCCTGTTTTATGAAGATCAGCACACCTGCCAGTAATTATGTAACCAGCTTTTTAAGTAAATAAGGTTACCTTATATTCAAAACTGAACTGTGTATTTTTTTTTGAAAGAAGAACTGAAATAAGTACAATTACCGAGTCAGGAGGAAAAAATGCACTAAAATATGGTGTCAGAGTGCTGAACTTTTAAAAGCCTGAAATAGTCATTTCAAAGTAAGAGGTGTCAGGTCAGATGCGTATTAATGTCACGTACACAGGCCAAAGGTCCAGCCCGAGGCTTTGGTTTCAAATGGGTAATCAACATTATATTAATGAAGATTTAATGACAATAGTAAATATAACACATCCTCAGAAGACATGACGTTCAACAAGTTTCACATTCATCAGATTCATCAGCTCTGCGAGGGTACGAAACAGAGTATTTGAGGGGAGTGAAGTGGCGGTCATTTGCGCTCCTTGCTCAAAGACATCTGTAATCACTCCACTCCAACTGTGCTCCAGGTTTTCTATTTCCCAATCCTTGCACGCTCGCACATCAAAGAAAACCAGCTCCATGTTCACTCCATAGGATTAATTTTTATGGTACTTTTCTTAATGTCTTGAACACATGGTCAAGACCATACGCTCTTCATTTTATGTATTATATAATTTACGTCCATTTAAAAAAAAAAAAGAACATTCTGCACTACGTAGGTGTTTTTTGGTAGATATAGGCTTGAAATGAGGCCTTATCACAAACCAGAAAAGTGCTAGGGTAAACAAATGTATGTAATTTTAATAAATCACTGGTGCAGCAAACTGGACAACACAAGACTCACGTACTACCGTTGCGTCGTGTGAGCAGCACGGAATGTGTTGCTTTAGTTTTGCCGCTTTTGTTAATTGTTCAGAGCTTTAACCAGGCTCCATGAGCAGAGCAGCAGAGCCTCCCAGATGCAGCATGGTATTTAGAGAATAAATAAGGAGACAATTTTTTACACCTGCACCACATATGCACCATGCAAGAAAATACTATGAAATAAGCTAAGTAATGAAAATGAAACAGAAAACTGCATAAAAGTTTTAAAAGCACAGATTCTTTAATTCATGACCGTTATCAAACCAAATATACTCTTGGGCAAAAAAAAAGTCCAGATTTAAATCTTATAGAGAATATTTGGCGGTGTTTTTCAACTGTTTAAAGTAATCCATGCTGAGTTGAAAAATACTGACTCTTATTTTTGTAAAAGGTTTTCTGCAAATTCACAAACAAAACTTTAACATTTTAGAGAAATCAAAGGGAAAAGCTGCATAAGATTCGCCCAATCACACGGCAAAATGTTACAGTGGGTAAACAAATGTACCGTGAATTATTTTACTATTTATCCATTTGGAACATGGGTGGAACTTGCTTACTGTACCATTTCGCAGCTGTATGGCCAGAAACATATTTCATGCTAGTACATAAACGCAGACACTTTGAGCTATATGGACACGGTTTCATTCATTGTGACATTCTAACCTTGCATTTACACAGGCAATGCAACAAAGCAGCCAGCATTCTTTTATTTTCAATGAGATTGGGTGATTTCCTCCGACAGCAGGCAGTGCAAATGTTGGCAACTTGAAGTGGGCGGAGTTAGCAACACTACAAATTTGAGCAAAGTTTAACATTATGAAAATTAGAAGTGATGTGGCAATTACCAATCAGAACTGAGTAGGGTGGTATGCGCTATTGTGAAATGGTATGCTGCCTATTTGGTTCTTAGATATTTGTTCCTACTAGAGACAGAATGATGGCTGTAATTGCAGTGACCAAACATTGATTGGTTCACATACTGACTGCATAGACAATGATGCATTACATAGGGATAGAATTCATAGCCAATTTCTCTCGAGGAATTAAATTTTTATCGAGAAGGCAGCTGTCCACAGGGAAACCATTTGAATAAAAAAAAGGTAAGGATGTCAGTTGAGAAAGGGAATGAATGCTGCAGAGCAGTTACCAAGTTCAGTATCATTAACAATGATTACAGACTTTTTGAACTGTTTAAGCTCCCTGGCTTAAGCAGACGTACTAGCTGGAAAGGTGTTTTTTTCTCCTCAATTGCATGACAATATTTAGTGGTTATTATTACTGTTTATCAGATTCTGCAGTGAGGTTATTATCAAATAAACACATTTTTTTCCATTTCTTTGGAAAAGAAAAACTACAGCTTTAAGATGAATTTATTCATGTGGATTGCAAAGAAGAAGGGAAGATGTACTTATTATTAATAATTATTAACATCTTGTTTGTCACAAATAGTAAAATGGTATTGAAAAAGTATTGATTTAGTATCAGTATTGAAAAATTTCAAATGATGCCCAACACAGTTCCATAGAATCTGTCAAGGTGCACTGAACTTGTTCTGGCAGCTTGTACTGGTCCAGCACTTTACTATGTCCCCATTTGTATATTTGCTATACATTTTCACAAAGCACAAAAATTGTGATTCAGTGATTGATTCTGGATTTCCACTAATGCAACATGTTTTTTACTTTTGTTGTTTTGTTTTTGGTGAGCAGATAAATGCATCAAAAGGAATATCTACTCTAATTTTTCAAATTTGAGATCTTATCTACTTTTTCTTTTAAGGGTCAAATACTTTAAGTGTGGATATGCAACAACTCCTCTCTAGACACAGACCACAGCATTCCGAGCCAGTCTGTTATACGATTTTACTTATTTAATTATTATTATTTAATAAAATAACTCAAATGTATCATCCCTACCATATTATCTAGTATAATCTACTATTTAAACATGCAAACTTTTTATGTTTATGTATGTATGTATGTATGTATGTATGTATGTATGTATGTATGTGTGTGTGACTGTAGTTTGAGGGTGAGGAGCGCAATCTCAGGCACTACTGGTACACATCATGGCCAGATCAGAAAACTCCAGACAAAGCCCCGCCTCTTTTACAACTGGTTCAAGAAGTAGAGGAAGCAAGGAAAAAGGCTGCACCTGATAGTGGCCCCATCATTGTTCACTGCAGGTACCATAACAAATATGATATTTTAGCATTAACAATTGTTTTATTATAAATTAGTGGAAGCAAAAAAATTGGTAATGTTTTGCTATATACACTCAGTGGCCAGTTTATTAGGCTACATCTACCTTGTATCCTCACTCTTTGGGCATTTTATCAAGTACATCAACGATATAAGTGCACTTTGTAGGTATGGAACTACTGACTCTTGCAGTGCACAGTTAGTCATGCTCTACCCCATTTATCAGTTGAAAGTGATCACCATAGAAACACTGCTGACCAGATGTTATTGGGATGGTGGACCATCCTCAGAGCAGATCTGGCACTAACAAAGCTGTGGCATGTTAATATGTTTTTGTGCTGGTATAAGTGTGTCAGCAGCATTGAATCTTAGCTAGGGTGTAAGTTCATCCTCTAACATTTTTGTTAAACATGTTCAGCATGGTTTCTTCCAGACTATTAAAGTGATTATTTCAGTAAAGTCTAAGAGAGTATTTGTGTTGACTTTAAAATTCCTCTTAGTGCAGGAATCGGCCGCACCGGCTGCTTTATTGCCACTACTATCCTGTGTGAGCAGCTGAGACGTGAAGGAGTGGTGGACATTTTGAGAACAACCAGCCAGCTGCGTTTGGAGAGGTATAAATATATGTACTGTGTATGATACAGTCTTTAGATTTTTTTTTTTTAACAAAATGAATTAATTATATGAAATGTGACATGAAATTTATGAGTGTGTCTTTTTAATTAATGATCGTAATACATGTACCCACTTTCACAAAGACTTCTCCTACAGAGTGACTGTGTCACTCTGGTTTAAAACCAGAATATAAACTATTTGTCTAGCAAATTGAACTCTTTCTGGTTTATTTCGTATCGATTTTTGGTGAGTTATTTTAGATTAGTGGAAGCAAACAAAACAAATTTTTATTAAATATATGTGCTGGGTTGCTGGTGACTGCCAGTGGACTGGATCTACAGTTAGCTACTTAGCTAAACTTCTGAAACTGATGTAACAACTTGCTTTATTATGTTTTAATTATCTAGAACTAGTTGGATTATTTATTCAATTAGCTTTACATTGGAATTAGATTAGAACTAGAGATCAAATGAAGCCCAAATGGAGAAATACTCAACTGTAAACAAAAAGCTAGTCATAAGACAGTATTTGCTACATCTTGCTCCCCTAACACTGCTGAAAGTGACAGCTTTAATTTTAGGGCTTATTTCATGTTTCAAGCTGCATCATTGACAAAAGATTGATTAAACACACAGATATGTGAAATTATTCATTACTTAAAATTATTAAAAAAAACTTTCATGTCACATTTAATAATTTATATTTATTGTAATTGCACAACCACATTAAAGGCCAATATTTAATTACCACCCCAATTCCAAAAAAGTTGGAACGCTGTGTAAAATGTGAATAAATGTAAATAAAAACTGAATGTAATGATTTGCACATCTCATAGACCCATATTTTATTCACAACAGAACATAGAACATGTCTCAGATGTTGAAAGTGAGGCATTTTACCATTTCATGAAAAATATTAACTCATTTAGAGCTTGATGGCAGGAACACATCTAAAAAATTTTGGGGCAGGGCCATGTCCACTATTTTGAAGCAGTCTTTCTTCTTTTAACAACTTCGGAAGTGAGGAGACCAATTGCTGGAGTTTTGGGAGAGGAATGTTGTTCCATTCCTGTCTGATGAACCCAGAAACAGTCCTGGGGTCATGATATTCGAAATGTTTTCTATTGGCGAAAGGCCTGGACTGCAGGCAGACAGTTCAGCACCCGGACTCTTCTTTTGCGAAGCCATGCTGTTGTGATGGATGCAATATGTGGTTTAGCATTGTCTCACTGACATATGCAAGGCCTTCCCTGAAAGAGACGTTGTCTCTTTATATACTGGATGGGAGCATATGTTGTTCTAAAACCTTTATATACTTTTCAGCATTAATAGTGCCTTCCAGAAGTGTAAGCTGCCTGTGCCATAGGCACTAATGCAACCCCATACCATCAGAGATGCAGGCTTTTGAACTCAAGTCACGTCAAGTAGCACGTTTTACAACAGGTGTTGTCACAAAGCAGCTTTACAGAAAAATCTGGGTCCAAGCCCCCATGAGCAAGCCAATGGCAACAGTAGCAAGGAAAAACTCCTTAAGAGCAAGAGGAAGAAACCTTGAGAGGAACCAAGACTCAAAAGGGGAACCCATCCTCTTCTGGTCGACACCGGATAGCAAACAGCATTAGCATAAAATATTAGAATACAAAACGGGGAAAAACAGGCAGAGCAATGGTTAATTAGATTTGAGTTTATGCAGCAGCAGCAGCATCATCAGTAGGGTCAGTTCATGAAGGTAAGGTTTGCACAGCATTGTACAGCGTGAAGCTCAATGGTGGTCCAAACGGTTTTGAAGGCTGAAACAGTTTTGAAGGCTGGCCAGCAATAGGCACCCAATCAAGGCAGAAGAAGCAACAGCATCAGACCGCACAGGATGGGGAGTTGTTCAACTCAGCAAAGAGAAGGAAAACACACAGAGTTAGTTCTGTAAAGACCGACTGATCACAGATTACAATATTAACAGAGTGCAGCACAGACTCCGGCAGGTCTAAATATTACAGCCTAACTAAAAGGAGAAACCAGAAAGGTGACAGAGACATGAAAGCTCCCTGAGATGTCAGCATCCCTCCACTCTACTGTCAGCAAACTTGAGTGAACGCGTGAGAGCAGCGGGACAACAGCACCAACAAACCCAGTTTACCATAATACTCTACGTCCATGAACCCCCCAGATCTGCACCTTTTATCTAACAGAGAAAACTAATTACCAAAGACTTGACTAAACAAGTACGTTTTTAGCCCAGACTTAAAGACTGAGGCTGTGTCTGAGTCCCGAACACTGACTGGAAGATTATTCCAAAGTTGGGGGGCTTCGTATGAGAAGGCTCTCCCCCCTGATGTAACTTTATTAATTCTAAGCACTAATAGTAAGGCAGCACCTTGTGATCTAAGTAGGCATGATGGTTCATAGTATGAGAAAAATTCACTCAGGTACTGAGGGGCGAGTCCATTTACAGCTTTATAGGTCATTTAGCTGGCAACCAGTGTAGGTTTGATAAAACTGGACTGATATGGTCAAACTTTCTGGTTCTTGTGAAGACTCTGGCTGCAGTGTTCTGGACTAGCTGAAGCTTGTTAAGGCTTTTGCTGGAACATCCAGACAGCAGGGCATTACAGTAATCTAGCCTTGAGGTAATAAATGCATGAACTAGCTTTTCTGCATCCTGTAGTGACAATACATTTCTTAATTTTGCAATTTTGCAGAGATGCAGGAAGGCTATTCTAGTAATATTCGTTATATGTGCGTCAAAGGACAGATCGGGATCTATAATGACACCAAGATTTTTTTTTACAGATGAACATGACACAACTGAGAAACTATTAAGTTTAAGTGTTAAATCAGATAGTTTGATGTTTCTAGCAGCTTTTGGACGAAGAAGTAAAACTTCTGTTTTATCTGAGTTAAGTAGAAGAAAGTTACTTGACATCCAGTCTTTTATGTCTTTTATACAGTCATCAATCTTGCTAGGTTGAATTTTATCATCTGGTTTGCTCGATGTTTATAACTGTGTGTCTTTGGCATAGCAGTGGGAATTGATGCCATGTTTACTGATAATGGTGCCCAGTGATAGCATACATAATGTGAACAATATAGGTCCTAAAACAGAGCCTTGTGATACACCATACTTTACTTTTACGAGGACAGACCATTCACTGTTTACATTTACAAACTGACAGTGATCAGCTTAAGAGGTTTTGGGATAAGCCATGGCTAAGAGAGGAGTTTATTATTGACAGAATAGGCTTGGTCATTTCTGGCAAAATTTCTTTGAGTAAACCTGTAGGAATCGGATCTAACATACAAGTAGAAGATTAAGCAGAGGAAATAATTTTAACTAGTTCATTTGGTGAAGTAAGGTAAACGATTCTAGCCTCTCTGCGGTAGTTACAATATTCTCAAGATCTAGATTGACATTATATGGCAGCAAGTTTGTAGAGTTTAACTGTGCGTTCTGAATTTTCTGCCTAATTTTTATGAAGAAATTCATAAAATCACTGCTGCTATAGGCTAGTGGCATCTGGGGTTCAGTAACTGTTTGGTTCTTAGTTAATTTAGAAATTGTGCTAAATAATAATCTAGGATTATCCTTAATATTTTCAATGAGAGAGGAGAGATAGGTTGAGCGTGCTGCAGTAATGAATGTACATTACCACTAAAGCAAATTTCATATGAGATTAGATAATGATATGAGATTGCTGTGCTCTGGGGGAGAATGGCTAAGTTATCTATGTTTACAGCAAAGGTCAGAATTAAGTCTAAAGTGTGGCTGCAATAATGACTGAGCCCCTGTATATTTTGAGTGGAACCTGTAGAGTGTAAGATAGATATAAATGCCTTACTTAGTGGATCTTGTGGTTTATCAAAGTGGATATTAAAATCTCCGACAATCATTACTTTATTTGAAAATGTTCTTAACTTGAAAGAAAGAGAATTCCTGTAAGAACTGAGAATACGGCCCTGGCAACCTATAGATTGTAATTAGTGAAAATGAATTCTTATTTGTTCTTCGATCATTTATATTAAGAAAAAGAACTTCAAAAGAAGAGAATTTGTAGCCTACTTTCTGGTTCATGCCTAAAGCTTTTGTATGGGTGGTTGCTGTACCTCCACCCTGGCCGCTTAAACGAGGGCATAACTGTAGCCTGTGGGGGTGGCTTCATTTAAACTAAAGTATTCATCAGGTCTAAACCACATTTCAGTGAGGCACAGAGCATCAAAATCATGATCGGTAATCATTTCATTTACAACGACAGCTTTAGATGTAAGAGATCTTATGTTAAGCAGTCCTAGTTTTAGACCAAAGGTGCTATCACTCCAAACTGGTATAACTGGTCTGATAATCAAGTTACTAGAGCAAACTTTTCAAGGGTTTTTGATGCTTTGTTTTATTCGGGGAACAGACACAATCTCACTTAGGTGGAACCTATGTGGCATCTCAAGGCAGCTCGCAGATGGTCGGTTTAGCCTGTTTGTCTGCTGCCTGACCTTGGCCCTGGTTTGTCAACGACTGACTGTCCTGCACTGCTGGCTATCTGAGAGAGTACGGGCTATGCTACATGAAATGAGAGCAGCACCTTCCCATGAGGGGTGAATACCGTCCCGACCCAAAAGACCAGGCTTGCCCCCAAAAGTAGGCCAATTATCTACAAATCCCACATTGTTTTCTGAGCATCACTTGGACAACCAGCAGTTCAGCGACCATAACCTGCTGTAGATTTCGGTGCCACGTCAAACTGGGATGGTGCCAGAGCATATTACGGCATCGGACGTCGTCTGGGCTAAATAAAAAGATAATGTTATCTTTAGTTATTTCTGACTGCCGCAGACGAAAGTCATTAGTACTTACATGAATGACTATCCTCGAATATCTACGGCTAGCTAGCAGATTCAGGTTCCCTCTAATGTCCGGTGCCCTGGCTCCCGGTATACAGTTAACTGCTACTGGCACCTAAGGGAGAAGCTATTTTCAAGTGCCGTAAAATAGAATCACCTATAATCAGAGCTCT